AGGCGCCTGTGGTCCCAGCTACTTGGGAGGCGGAGGCAGGAGACTCGCTTGAGCCCAGGAGTTGGAGGTTGCTGTGAGCTGTAATGCCACGGCACTGTACCCAGGGGGACAGCTTGAGGCTCTGTCTTAAAAAAAAAAAAGTAAAGACTTCACATGACAGAGGGCAGAGAATGGCCAGAGAGTATGATCATTAGTTACCTCCAGCCCTTTGATAAGGTCAGAAATCCTGTTTATGAGGGCTCCTTCCTCATGGATTAATCACTGCGTAAACGTCCCACCTCTTATTGCTAGTACATTGTCAATTAAGTTGCAACTTATGAATTTGGAGGGGCATTCAGGCTGTGGCAGTCTCAAAAGGTGGTCCCAGCCCCCATGCTGAGTCTTTGCTAAAGAAAACACAATGCTACCATACTGCAAAATGCACTTCCTCCCAACCACCATTGTCAAGTAATTTTCCACTCACTTCCTCCATAATTTTTTCATTTTTCCCAAGTCCTCTAGCCCTTCTGAGATCAGGTGAGGTTGGGTCCATTCAGGGTAGTATGGCCATAGATGCTGAGTCCTTCTCTGTCTTCCCTTTTTCACTTCCTTAGAGCCCCTTTTAGCTAACTCTCTGTTCTCCCTCTAAAATGCCTAGTTACCTTTGTCTTAGTTGGAGTTGAACACAGTTTGTACTGGAGTTTCTCTTCCTTACTGCAGTAGTCTAAATAAAATCCGCCTTGCTGTCTTTAACAAGCGACTGGTGCTGGTTCTTTGGGACAAGAACAGCCTGGAATTTCTACCAATGACCTCAGCCCTCACACCTGCAGGCCAGGAGCCAATGGGACCATACTAGGACCAATAGCAGGATCCATGTGGGCTCCCTGGCAGAGATCTGGCAACTGTTTGCCACCATGGAAGAGCTGACTATCAAGAGGCAACTGAACGCAGTTCACTGCAATACCCCTCTCATAACCTAATCATCTCCCAAAGGTCCTACCTCTTAATATTTTCACCATGGAGGGTAGGTTTCAACACAAAAGTTTTCAGGGGACACAAACGTTCAAACCATACATTCAGATCATAGCATGATTAAACAATTTTGCCCACTCTGTCCAGACCCTGGTAATGAAACATCATTTACTTTACATATATAGTATATAAATATACAGTCTATATGAAGGGTGTATGAATTTGAATATTTTAGATACTTCATGTTTTTGGAATCATACAGTATTTGTCCTTATGTGATTGCTTTATTTTACTTAATATAATGTCCTCAAGATTCATCCGCAGCATGTCACAAGATTTCCTTCCTTTTTCAGGCCACACAGTATTCCACTGTATGTGGATACTACATCTTGTTTACCCATTCATCCATCAGTGGACATTTGGGTTGCTTCTACCTCTTGGCTATTGTGAATAATGCTACTACGAACACAGGTGTGCTGGTATCTCTTTAACAATTTTCAATTGTTTTAGATTTATATCCCGAAGTGGGATTGCTGCTAAGTCTATTGTTAACTTTTCAAGGAACCACTATACTTTTTCCCAAAAATGATGTGCATTTTATTCACTAGTGAATACCCTATACTTAATACAATGCCCAGGCATAAAATAGATCCCCAAATATCTCTTGAATGCAGAAACAATAACAGAAGGGATGTGGGGGTAATGAAATGGCAGATTTGGCCTTTCTTGGTTAAGGCCTGGTCACAATCATTAGAAACATTGATCCTATGCTTTGAGGCTGAGACAGAATAAAACACAAGGACAAAACCCAAAACATTCACTGCTTTCACACAAGGATCTTTTTATTAAAGTCCTCAGTTTCTTTGCCTTTTATTCACCTTGTTATCTACCCCTTTTATCTGTTCAATTTTCATATTCCTCCTAAAATTGGGGCAGGACACCTCAGTGTGTGCAGAGTGGCCCAGCACACACCAGGAAGCCATGCTTAGTCCTCAACCTCTCCCTCTGTGCTCTCTTACAGCGCCTCTTCTGGGTCAGGCTTGTTTTCCAGAAGGTGCTGGAGGGAGCGCAGATGCCATCCACAGCCTCATGGAAGGTGTGCCCCATGGTAGGTCTACCCATCCTGGAGAACTCTGCCACAGGCACAGAGTCACCAGGGAGGCCAGGCAATTTCATGGGGGTGGCTTCCTTCTAAAGATATGGGGTCAGCTCTTCACGGATGTACTAACATGTCTCCTAAGACAAACAGCAGGCTTGCCTCCAACTCTTGGGGAGACATCTGCCCACTTGGAGGTCCTGCCAAGGATGGAACAATATGGGGAGAGCCCTGGTCCTAATGGACTCTTTTAAGAGAGCAGGCGTCCATGGCTCTGTGAGCAGAGAACAGACAACCCACTTGGGTCCCCCAGGCATAGAGATGAGTTGATTCAGTTCCACCTGCATGGCCTGCAAGAAAGCCACCTCACTCTCAGCCACAGCAGAGAAGAAATGGCTCCCCTTTGCAGGACAACTTATGCAAGAAGTTGTAGCCTCTCCTGAGCTTGACGAACAGAGCACACTTTGGGGGTTGCGGATGCCTTTGGGCTGAGTTGGGTACAGTGATGTTTGTTGCATGTGCCTTTCCCAATAAAGTCAAAGAAATTCCGCCCCAGGTAAGTGTGGCACAGGAAGCTCAGGGTTGAGTTAGTTGGTGAATATCAAGCCTTCCATTATGAACTGGCACTTGCATCCACATAACCATGTGCAAATACCTTCGACATTTTCTCACAGATTCAGGCAGCAACCCAAGAGCCAGGATGAAGCAGACGAAGACTCCTTCTAAAGGACTCTTCATCTTTCTTGGTCTTCTGACTCTCTTCACCAAACACACATATTGGCAAAATTTTACAGGAAGTCCCTGCCCATACACTAAAATCAAGGAGTACCCTGAAAAACCAAGTCAGTTTTACTTGCCCTGATTATCTATCTGGTGCTCTCACAGGGCACATAAGGATATAAAGAGCTATCTTTCTTCTCTTTTCTTTCCTTTTTTTTTTTCTTCGACAAAAAGATAAGATCTCTTTCGACTTTGGACTCCTGACTTTTAGTTAAAAATTTCCCTCAGGATTTATTTTTTGTTTCATCAATTTTTTTCTTTAAGATAGAGGTCTTGTTTTTTTCTGCCTGTGGATGCTGCCGAGGAAGCATCATTAACATCTCTATTCCCACCACTGTCATGTCTAAGTTAGAGTCTCCTAAAGAGCCCAAACAACTGTGGAAGCTATTCATTGGAGGGTTGAGCTTTGAAATGACTAATGAGAGGCTGAGGAGCCATTGTGAGCAATGGGGAACACTCACAGAGTGCGTGGTAATGAGAGATCCAAACACCAAGTGCTCCAGAGGCTTTGGGTTTGTCACATACGCCACCGTGGAGAAGGTGGATGCAGCCATGAATGCAAGACCATGCAAAGTGGATGGAAGAGCTGTGGAACCAGAGAGAGCTATTTCCAGAAAAGATTCTCAAAGACCTGGTGCCTACTTAACTGTGAAAAAGATCTTTGCTGGTGGCATTAAAGAGGATACTGAAGAATATCACTTAAGAGACTACTTGAATAGTATAGGAAAATTGAAGTGATTGAAATCATGACTGATCAAGGCAGTGGCAAGAAAAGAGGCTTTGCTTTTGTTATGTTTGATGACCATGATTCTGTGGATAAGATTGATATTCAGAAATACCATACTGTGAATGGCCACAACTGTGAAGTAAGGAAAGCCCTATCAAAGCAAGAGATGGCTAGTGCTTCATCCAGCCAAAGAGGTCGAAGTGGTTCTGGAAACTTTGGTGGGGGGTGTGGAGGTGTTTTGGGTGGAAATGACAACTTTGGCCATGGAGGAAACTTCAGTGGTCATGGTGGCTTTGGTGGCAGCCATGGTGGTGGTGGATATGGTGGCAGTGGGGGTGGCTATAATGGATTTGGTAATGATGAAAGTAATTTTGGAGGTGGTGGAAGTTACAATGATTTTGGCAATTACAACAATCAGTCATCAAATTTTGGACCTATAAAGGGAGGAAATTTTGGAAGCAGAAGCTCTGGCCCTTACGGTGTTGGCAGCCAATACTTTGCCAAACTATGAAATCAAGGGGGCTATGGTGGTTCCAGTAGCAGCAGTAGCTATGGCAGTGGCAGAAGGTTTTAATTATTCCCAGGAAACAAAGCTTAGCAGGAGAGGAGAGCCAGAGAAGTGACAGGGAAGCTACAGGTTACAACAGATTTGTGAACTCAGCCAAGCACAGTGGTGTCAGGGCCTAGCTGCTACAAAGAAGACATGTTTTAGACAATACTCATGTGTATGGGCAAAAAACTTGAGGACTGTATTTGTGACTAATTGTATAACAGGTTATTTTAGTTTCTGTTCTGTGGAAAGTGTAAAGCATTCCAACAAAGGGTTTTAATGAGAGTCCAGGCTCGAGTTTGAATAAAGGCTCTTTTGCTATTGCATCAGACTTGGCTCCTTGGTGGTCTGTGGGGACTTCCTGATCTGGGCATAACATTTGGGGGGGCTCATCCAGGATCCCCAAGACCCCCCCCCCCACAAGGACCCACTCCAGAGAGCTCAGAAGGGTAAGTGTACCAGTACCAGTGTGTATGTGTGTGTCTCTGTGTGGGCCCATGGGAGAATCTGGTTGATCTGATTGAGCCAGCGTGAGGTCAAGGCAGATGCTCTGGAGGCTTGCTGGCGGGGATAGTGGAAGACTTTCTGGCCCCTTCTGTAAAGGACTTGACCCCTCCAGACTGGGACATGGAATCCCCAGGACTCGGTGCAGACTCAATCCATCTGGTGTTTTTGAGTGGACGTGGCAGGTCTCTCCCACAAAACAGCAGGTAGCCATCGTCCCACTTTCAGTTTTGTCTCCACAGATTGTCAGTGTGGTGTGTGTTCAGTGTAGTGTGTGCCCTGTGTTTCGTGTTTGTGCTAATTTGATTAACTAGTATGGAGCGACTCTGACGAACAACATGGGACAAACTCAGACAACCCCCCTCTCCCTCTTTCTCAATCACTTCAAAGACTTTGAAGAGCTCAGAGCTTAGGTCTCATAGTCAGAAAAGATAAACTAATCATTTTTTGCAGGAACAGGTGGCCAACCTTCAACGTCAGATGGCCTATAGAAGGAACCTTTCACTTCCCCACCATCTTAAGGGTTAAAGACATTGTGTTCTGGCCACATACTGGCCATCTTGATCAAGTCCCTTATATAGCCACTTGGCAGGACCTGGTGGAAAGCCCCCCATCATGGCTGCAAGCAGGGTGGATTAAGGCAACCCTGCCAGCACCACTGGTGAGACCAGATGTGGTACTCACAGTCTGTGAGGAGTCCTCTGCAGAAACTACTCAGACCCTTTGCACCACTTCATTTTGTTTTTCAGGAAGATGTGAATCAAAAATCCCTCCTGACACCATTTCCCCCAGGGGAAGTGGAGGTAGCGGGAAACTTAAGCAAAAGAAGTAAATAGAAGACTCATCATGAATAACCCCCTACCATTTTGCCACTAGTAAATCATGTAATTAGAAAATGCAAAACCTCACACTCTCCTGATTAACCTTTTAGATTCTATCCCTTTACCCATCAGTCAGAAGCTGTTACAGGTGTTATCCACCAAAGAAAAATCCAGCTGGAAATCTAGAAGAAGCTGTCCTGGGCAAGGATGGCAAATAGATGCTGCTTTCCCATTAACTCGCCCTATATGGGACTTTAACACTACTGAAGGTAAGGAGAGGCTCCCGGTCTACCACCAGACTCTTATGAGGGGCCTCCGGAAAGCAGCTTAAAAGTCGACTAATTTGGGGTACTGTGCCTCAGCCAAGAAGGCCCAAATCTGTCAACAAACTGTAAGTTACTTGAGGTACATGCTAAAAGATGGACAAAGGCGGCTCTCGCAGGCTGAAAATACTGACCCCCACCTCGCCCTGAGAGGTCTGGGAGTTCCTTGGAGCCACTGGCTTCTGTAGACTTTAGATTCTAGGGTTTGCAGGAATTGCCAAACCACTATATGGAGCAACCAAAAAAGGGCAGCCCTTCCACTGGACAGGGGAGAAAGAGAATGCCTTCCAGGCACTCAAAGTGGCGTTACTGTCCTCTCCTGCACTAGGGCTCCCAGACATTACAAAACCCTTCCAACTATATGTGGATGAGCACAAAGGGATAGCCAAGAGGGTGCTGACCCAGAGGATAAGATCTTGGGATTGACCAGTAGCCTATCTGTCTAAGAAACTGGACCCAGTGGTGGCGAGATGGTCCCCGTGCCTGTGCATAATCACAGTCACCACCTTGCTCGTCAAGGACACAGACAAACTCACACTGGGACAAGAGCTACTGGTCATGACGCCCCATGCTATAGTAGGAGTCCTGAAACAGCCACCTGATCAAAAGATAAATAATGCCTACCTCACCCATTACCAGAGCCTTTTATTAAATCCTCCCCCTTTTGAAATCATGTTCGGGCACCACCACCACCCCCATTATTCCTAACCTGAAAGCTGATCTATTAGAATCTGAAATTGACTCTGATTTCCTTTTCTCCCTACGATGCTATCAACGCGTGCAGAAAGAGAACTGGGACAGTCTCAAAGCTCTGTACGAGGCCAGCCCCACTCCCAACCTCACGCGTATCGCCTGGGTGATTGGGTGTATATAAAACGGCACCATCGTGAGACCCTAGAACCCCAGTGGAAAGGACCCTACATCATGATCCTCACAACACCCACCGCCATCAAGGTAGATGGTATCGCCTCCTGGATACATCACACCCATGCCCAGCTTGCAGATCCTTTTGCGATCCAAGAAGACTGCCTTCTACAATGGAAAATCCAGCATGACAAAGACAATTTCCTAAAACTAAAACTCAAGTGCTCCTCATGGCAAGCTTGATGCTACTAACTGTATGTGCTGTCCTCCCCAGCCCCCATAAGCCAGTCAACATTACTTGGCAGATTCTTAAAGAATCTCTAACTTCCCTGTCAAAAATAGTATTTCAAAATAAGAGAGGACTAGACTTATTATTCTTGCAACAAGAGGGATTGTGTGCCACCTTAGGAGAAGAATGCTGTTTCTATGTTGATCATTCCAA